TTATAGGTGTAAGGCATTTTTTTTGCATTTGTTGCAAAATGTTATTGTCATTCGGTCATTATGTCATTGATATTTGGAATAAAAACTGAAGTTTATAGAAAATGCTTAATTTAATTTAAATTTATTTTAGATAAATGTAGTATTTTCCATTAAAATAATTTTTATGTACGTATTAATGACTAGTGTATTACGCAGATATGACTAAATTATTTTTAAAATATTATATTTCAACTATTTATTTCAATTACGTAGGTAGTATAATATCCGATTCCGTTGTAACATAATACCAGTGAATCATAAGCATAAGCATAGTCACTTAAAATATTACCTAAGAGGCGTGTACAGCTAATAGCTATAAGTCTATAAACATTATTACCAATTTAAAGATATGCGTTGTGCACATAAATGTAATAAAACTATTTGTAATTACCACGAAGTTACGTTTTCCCTGATGTCACAAGCACCAATGAGTTCATTGAATCCTAGTCCGGTTCCACAATTGTATAGCCGAGGTCTACCGCTAACACAAAGGTAAAACTTTTGACAATCCACTGAGTTAGGATGGAGTTTGTGACCTTCCAGCGGATTTTCTTCGGGTGGGCATCTAAACCCAAGAAATGCTGTAAATTATTGTACAAGGATTAATTAATTGATCAATTCTTACATATTTTTGGCCACATRTAGATATTACAATATTAAATGTTATATAGTTATAGTTGTTGTGCAAACAAATAWAATTTAAATTTTAAATTATATATATGTACGACGATTATATTGATTTGGCTGAACACGAAATAGTTTCATAACATAATTCGTGATTTTTGTTATGTAATTCCCATTTCAAGTATATAATATTGTACCTATGGGATTTATAATGGTTTTTAAAATTGTTTTATTCATATATAATCACCAAGTGGTATATGTAATTATAACAAGAAAAAACCATTGCTACTGAAATTTCGAGTTTGCGTCTTTTCAATTAAAATTTGTGTAGCCAATAACGAATACGGTTTGCTGAACTAATACGTAGCTACGTATTCAACATCAACTGTATGAAATATAATGTGTAATATTATAAAAATATTGGTAAATTGATTTAAATTTTCCTCAATATAATAATATATTGACGTTTTTCTATAAAACTATCTGATTAATAATATTATATACTAGCTGCTCGTATAATAATATATTCGTGATTCGTCCCGTGTTTGGTATTTATACAAACACATCGCGATCAGAGATCGTCAATAATTTAAATGTTTAATGTTTATAATCTTTATGCTCGATGTAAGTACATTCAATACTTAATTAGATCTATAAAAACTAATTACAGTCGCCGAATGTAAATTTAAGGAGAATCGGGTTCATAAAAATGTGCTGTAATATTCACTATTTATATTATTTCAAGAGCTTTTCTTTTTAGTTTTTTACATATTATAAATTATAATGTGATCGAAGTAACACAACGTATATTGTATACATTTTTACATAATTATATTTGTAATCTACCTTCTGCGTCGCACGTGTCCACCTGATCCGGCCAGTCACATCTAAACGTTAACTCGTTGAATGCCAACCCTTCGGGGCAGTCAAATTTGTATCCTATTCCATTTACGCAGTTTAGAAACTGACCACATTTTGTCTCGTCCCCCAGCCGAAAGTAACCGAATTGTCTTGGACAGTCGCTGGTTGGCTGCGGGGGTTCTGCAAAAGTTTTAGATTTAAGACATTTCTTATCGGTGAACTATAATAGGTAAATAAATAAAATTATTTATRAATAATTGYTTTGAACATTTTTCAGATTTTGCTGATTTCCGTCGAGTTTCAAATAGTTACCTAATTTAAAACCTTGGCACATAATCCATAAGAATGCTGTAAATGGAAACTACAATCAAATTATTGATTTACGAGTAAATAGAACTTACGCAATTGAGTTCTTCCCTCGCAATCTACTTCWGGTGGATATTGACACGGRTAAGAGAATATCGATGACTTTGAGTTGAAGAACAGTCCGTCGGGACATAATTTTTCTGCAGGTACACCATTCTCGCATTGTAAATATCTGATACAATATATATTTTATTTACAACGAAATTTTTTTTTTTAAAGTTGCATAAAAGTTATAAAAAGTTATAGTGGATAAACACGTCGTTAAAATAAAAGAATTAAAGRTACAGGGAATAGGAACAAATTGAATTTTGTAAACATATATTTTAATATATTTTCAAAAAGCTTATGGAATATGTATTGTATAAAATAATAAAAATAATGAATAAATTAATTTTTTAAACTTCACTAAATAATCAGTATTCTTTAGTAAAATACTGAAGTACTAACGACATTTTTTATCACCTATTTCTTTCGTACAATTAATTCGTGAGAAAATTTCTAATATAGTTATCTGATACACGGTGTATCATACACCTAAATGCATTACCTACTACATTTACTAAAATATACATAGTGATTCTTTTGWAGGTAAATTTAAACATTATAATTTGTTCAAAAAATGTTCACAGTGGATTTGGGAATACATTTTTCACTGTTATATTTTTCCAAGTTCTATACATTTTAGAATGTAGAATATTTGTTTTGTTAATTTCAATATGTAGGTATATCATCTATTTATTTACCTATATCTATATAAAAATGAATGCATATTGATAGATGAGGCTTATAAACTTTGAAACTACCAAACTRATTGGCTCAACATTTTGCAAATATACTTATATCGCATTCATCTATATTATATATACATCTTTCATTAATCAATGTATGTTCGTATGTACATTTAAAACTATAAAAGTACATATTTAGATGAGTGGAGTAGAGTGGCATAGTGGTATAATAGGTACACGTAGCAAATCATTGATCCACGACTACTCTGCTCATATTTGGTATAACCTTTACGGGAATACTTCTACAACTAATTAATTCCTATATTTATAAATATTTAATTCTAAAAAAAATATTCTGCTTAGAAGTATGAAATTAAAAATGTACTGTACCTACTATCATTCAAAACCGAAGAAAACTTAAGTAACCAATTATAACAATAAAATATTCTAAAATATATTATTTATCTAAAAAAATAAATGTTTTTTTGAAATGACTTTAAATTATCTAAAAACCATGAGGATTTTAGCTAATCCCGTAGGTACCTATAGCTTACAAAAATAAAAAATACATTTATKTACTAAACTACTAGACTATAAATTGTACAAAAAATAAAGACATAATAAAATTAATTTTAGTCTTAATGGTTATGGTTTATTCTACGATATTATTGTTCCTTTTAAATTGTGTCATGCTGATCAAGCTGTAATATTCTGTGGCCAAATAATAAGCTGACGCGACGACAACTAGTAAAGGTTTTCGATGCACAATGCACATTGGGGTTATCTCTGTTCATTGTTCAATTATAATATGCACACGTACCCATGCCATATATTATTGGCTGTGGATAGAGTCCCGGAAAAATCGGGATTGTTGATAACAATCTCATCAGTCCCGGAAAATTATTTATCATATTGCGCATGCGCGGGGACTTGAACAATTCACAAAAAAAGGTGTACAATAATTACCGTACCCGTAATCACCCCAAGTGTGTAAATTTAACCAGTATACCAAAAAAAAAAACTGGTATTGTCAATATTGCTAATTAATATTATAATTTATAAACAGTAATAACATGCTTAACTAATAATTATTGTGAATTTTTGTGAAACCAACATGATGTAATTTATTTACAAAATATATAAACTTGGTTATTCGATTTTAGTTATAGTGTAATAATATTTTAAAAATTGTTTAGACGGGTAGCTACTAGCTATTAAAGGATCGAGGAATACGCGAAACCAATAAAAAAATGTTAAGTGTACGGGACTAGTAGTAGTGGTAAATTACGGTCCCGGCTGTATGGTAATTATTGTACACCTTTTTTTGTGAATTGTTTAAGTCCCCGCGCATGCGYAATATGATAAATAATTGTCCGGGACTGATAAGATTGTTATCAACAATCCCGATTTTTCCGGGACTCTATCCACAGCCTATATTATTATGTACCTACTTTTCTCCCCAACATGATAATGTTATGACTTATAATGACATACGTCCAAACTCACTTGTCGCACTGGTTGCCCAACGGGTACCGTCCATTTCTTTCTGGACAAACGTCACTACCTGAACACGACAAAAATTAGGCAAAAGTTTGTCTGACTATTAATTTCATGCAGTGTGTCGCCTACGTACTTGTGGCCACATCGCGATCGTATCCGCTGTTATCCAAATACTGTCGCTGCCTCCTGACCGTCCTGCGCGTGACGCCACCTAAAATAAATAATATAATAAATTATGYGATCCTACGATAATGTCTATCCATATAATAAATGATATAGGTACAGTAGAGACTATACTAGAGTATAAACTATATAGACAGAACTACCAGCAGTAACATTTTTTCATATTCGTCTCTGTCTACGATATTTTCGTTTGCATGCTTGTGGGGTCCTTCTCACAACTGTCTTAGACCCATAACTCCCCTCCTCCATGGAAAAAACCCTATAACATATTATCTGATTGACTGCACCTACATTAATTTTGCTATATGGTTTATATTATATAATAATAAAGGTACCCGAATCGAGGACATACGAGTATTATTGTACCTACATAAATAATCGCATWCACCATATACATCACATTACCTATTAACTTATTCTATAAAAATAATAGATTTTTTTTAACACAAATTTACAATTTGTTATTTCYTTACAAGAAATAGATAACAATTTTGGTAGGTAGGCAAAAAGTTTTATCGAGCAACTTTTCTTTACTGTCCAATAAAAGTTGTGTGGTCGGGTGACGTATTAAATTCTGATATCATTTAGTTCTAAAATACATAATTGGTAGGTACTTTTATGTGTTTAAAATTTCCAAATGTTTATTGTACCTATTAATTTCGAAGCATTCTAAACATATTTTTAATAATTACACGATGGTAAGATAAAAATATATAAAAATGCACAGATTTTGACATTGTGTTACCTACTACTAAAGAAAAAGTTAAGTTATGTTTTTATAATTCTGTTTCATATGAGATTTATACTAATCATCCAGAAGTAACGGTTTGCATTATTAAAGAAGCTAAAAAGAAAACGTTATCACGATCGTTTTACAAGCCTATTCCCTCCCCTCAATAGGGACAGCACAAAAATCATAATATGTATTACATTATTGGTATGATATAACTTTGCGTTTATCGTATCGACGAAATAGTAACGATAATGTTATGATATCTATTCAAGGTATCGGAAAATATTGTATGCGCTAATAAACGTTATTTGTAACGCAGTCGTCGTTGAAGTATTATTACAATAGGTATTACCTACTATTACAATATCGGTTTTAAAGTTAAACGCATGCCGTTATTATTAATTATTACACAACGGGTGGCGATTTATGGTTTTTTTTTCTTTTGAATACGCGTCGCCCGACGACCACTTGCGCCGACCGCCTGGAGACTTGATCAGTTGAGCGTTTTGAATAAATTTACTGTATGATAGTTTTACGTTGTTTATAATAGATTACTGTTTAGAGCTATTAATATAGACGTGTAGTATGCGCGTATTATTTTATCCGTACACAATCTCTGGCGGACTTACAGTCTGCGGTTGCTTATGATCTTTCACAACAATGAAATTCGATTTTGGTATGTATTTAATATTTTATCATCAGGTTTAGAGGTAATGTCATTGGTAATAATATAATGTGAAACGGTGCGTCGTAATGCCAAAGTTTTTATAGCTCTTGACGATGATAACCTTTTGCGTTGAATAATAATCGCCGCGCCACTTCTCTTGTCACGATGACATTTGAAACTAAACCATTATACTTATTTTAATATCATGTTTTGTTTTTAAAAAAGTATAGGTACCATTTGAACTTTTAACCTTGGCTTTATAGGTAGAATTATGCGGTAAACGAACTAACTTTATATTTTTATCTCCAACCATTATTTTCACACATTTTTTGTGGTGTTGGTATGTAAGCAATTTTAAGTACGCCAGAAGCATATAACTATATATTTAATTTGTTTTCAATGAGGTTTATTAATAATTATCGTTGTTACTGGTATGATTAAGTTTAAGTAGTGATGTCTATGTAAGTTGTTTAATTTGATTAGTTGTACAATATTTTACTGACTAAATCGGTTGGTTTATCTCATGTATGACAAAAACGAGTTTAATATTATATGTGTTGTACCTACACTTTTACGTTTTATCTATAATTATGGAATAGCTTACATAGGTAGTGTAGAAGAGCGAAAATGTGAAAAAGTAAAAATGTGTCAAAAGACAAAACGGTTCGTGTAACTGAAATGTTGTTTATCGTTTACTCGATAAAAAAGATTAACATCAATTGAAATGTGGTGGCAGGCATTTGACCATGTCATTATTTAATAACGTTTTCAATCAAAACTTTATTGCAAACCGTAGTTCGAATTCAATAACTATTGACATTCTGGCGTAATATTTGTTTGTTACATAAGCGTAGCCGCGTAGGTATTATAAAATCTATAATCTATTGTAATGTATTGTCGATTTCAAATACAAGTATATCGCACATGGCAGCGGCTAACTTCGAAGTGGATAAAATCAAGAGGTGGTGGATATTAAATTTATTAGGTTAAAAAAAACTATGTTCGATATTATTCTTTAACAAA